GCAGGTTTTCTTTAAAATTATTTGACTTTGCAGTCAAACAATTTCTTTGCTTTGAGACCTGGTCAGCACCCTGTTGTAGGGGGATTTATCCATTGAGGCATCTACATGGATTGCAATAAAAGTTAAGCCTAGAAATGACACTAAACTCACCTGTTTTTTTCCTTTATAATTTTTACAGGAACATTATGAGACACACTCACTAATGAGAAACAGTAGTATAACTAATGCCTATTAAACAAGCATTCACAGGACATTCTTTCAGATAAACATCATTTGGAAAGTTACTTAAAGAAATTTCAGTCTACCCCCCAACAGAGATATTACAGCATTGTCTGAGGGAATTCGTGCTCTTAGTAGTGACAACAGATGGCAAGACAAATCAGAAATTACTAGTTTAGTAACTGTGGGATTAATCCATGATTAATTCAAAACAAGACAAAAACCTATTGGCAAGAATGGGAGCTGGACCTGATTCATGCTACTTTCCAAGCAGAAAAGTCAAGCAGCAACTGCTGATAAACAATGCATGTAAATGCAAATGTTCTTACCATCGTGTTCAGGATGATGTTGACATCTTCTGGCACCTGGGGACTAATTGCAACAACCAAATCCTCATAGCCATTCTTGTTTAGCCTTACCATAGAACCTTTTGCCACATGCAGGAGCTGAAAAGACAGCAAAAATATCAAACTCCTAATCATCCCCATTAGTAGTCCCTGTCTGCCAGAGGCTCTTGGTTAGAAAAGCAATGGCTTATCAGTCTTTTTATATGACCGCCTGTAGGGCGTGAGAAGACTTTGTTATGGTAACCCAGGATAGTGTACCTCCCCCATCCGAGTATGTAGAGTTCCCAAGCACATCTTATTGTTATGCGCCCTGGGACAGTTTGCTGCTTCCCATCTGAGTAGGTAGAGTCCCAAGCGCCTTTGTCTTATCTCGTTGTCACAGTAACCCGAGGTCCTTCGCTTCCCCCCATTACATGGCTGACAACGTAACAGCCAGCTGTGGATCTCGGCTGACAACATGACAGCCAGCTGTGCATCTTGGCATTCAGACAACAGGACCTGCATTACATCAGCAAGTTCCCTAATGGGCCAAACAGGACATTGCATATGTATGATATCTTAATCAGCGCAAGCTTTATTAGCCACCCCTGCAGTACTCTCCCTTGAGCTTCACTCCCGAGCAGGGCTCTGCTGTGTTGGGTTCCCATTTTGATTAGCGTTGGTGTCCCGGGGCTCCCACCATGGTGAACCTACGCTTTCCATAAAGTCAAAGCTCTCACTTGCTGAGTGTTGTTCCTCATCCCTGAGGGATTCACACCTGCTCTTCACTCCTAACACTGCCTTTGTGTCGAAAAGAGGTGTAACAGTTGGCAACAAGACACAGGTGTTCTATGGAAGTATAGTTGTATCGGATATGCTGGCTGCATTTAGTTATGTGCTACTTTTAGGAGGAAACACTTGATATTTTACTGTGAACTAAAAAAACACACATAAGAGTCCTTATGACTCTTCAGATGATCTATGCTCCATTATTCATTTTAGAAGAGCAAAATAATTGCAAAACCACAGTTGGAATTTCCTGGAAAAAAATTCCGAGCAATGCAGTAATTACGTAAGACAGAATTGAAACAATAGAAAAAGCAAGATTAGATAGTGAGATAGTAAAATGCTGATCCGTTCTGTATATAATATTTGGTATGTAAAATCTCCCCTTTTAAATGGCATTATTTGCCTTTAGATGAATAACCATCCCGTTTGGAATAAAATGTGTTTTTCTTGAGTGGGAACGGTTTGTCAAGCAAGCCACATTACTCTGTGTGGCTGTCCTATCCCTGCTCATCATTTCTCACTTCATGCTTGAAGAAACGTGTCCAGAAGTGTCTTTATATTTTATGCCAATTCCTTGATAAAGTATTTAATAACATCACACCTATTGCTGATTTGCAATCCTTTGAGAAATGTCTATTAGACGTTGATTCCCTACCAGCTACCTTTTAAGATCTCTTAGCTAGGAAGTTCCTAATCTGTTAAGAAGATGCTTGGTTAATCCCACATAGTACTAAATTTTGAATTGGACTATCACACAGTAATCAGTTCACAAATATCTCGTGATATAGCTATATTGTCAGTTAAATTCATAATTGCATTAAAAATAATAAAAATAGCATCAATGTGGTAGTGATTGACACTGATTATATTTTCATCCTTTAATTCATTATTGATTGATTCTGTATCAGCTTTTCCATTATTTTTGTGGAACAGATGTTAAGCAGATTTTCCAATAATTTTGCAGGTCATCGCCTCTATCTTTTTAAAAATGTTATGTCTTCTTGGTGATACTGTAAGCGTCACTAATAACCAAGAGAGTAAACTGCTGCTGAAGGTCTTAAGCAATTCTTTTAAAATTACTTTGTGAAATTTATCCAGGCACATGCATTTAAAAGTACTTCAGGTTTTCCTAGTGTACCAAAAAATAACTCCTGATGGTGATCATATGAAATTATATCATCTCACTTTTTCTGAAATATTGGCCAGAAAAATTAGCTAAATTCTTCTGCATGTGATTTGTTTGGTTTGTTTTTGGTTTGTTTGGGGTTTTTTTATACCAATATGAAATAAGGATTGTTTTCACTTTGTCTTTAGCAGTCAGTGAAGCCTTGGAAATAGTAACAATGAATTCCTTTTTAAACACCTCCACACTACTGGTTAGAGAAACTTCCCTTTGCAGCCAGCATGCTCAGGTGATAGAGAGGAAGTATTCACAAAAGCAGTGGTATAAAAATTGCCTCTTAGTTCCAGAGGAGTCTCACTACTTCTGATTTCATAACTTCCAGCTGAAAAGACAAATGGAAGATGTTGTCATGTGTGTTAGTTATCGTTCAAACTTTTGATCTCTTTCAAAATACTTTCATTTCAAAATACTTTCAAAATACTACTTACTTAGTATCAGTTTCATTACTTGGTTTGGCTACCGGGTAAAATAAATGCAGCATGGTGGATAGATCTGCCAAAAAAAATAATTACCTAAACTGAGTGCTTGAATGATTAAATTTCTACAGCACAGCACTGAAATTAATAGATGATGGCAATCATCATGAACCCACACTGCAGGCTGTCAGTATTTCTGACTTCACTGAATTTGACCTTACACTAAGTGAAGTAAAATTCCTATTTCTTTCCCAAATTTGATGTTTCTTTCCACTCTTTCCTTACATTCACAGAGTATATGTCTCTCTTCCATGAATAGCAAAATATTACAACATAGTGAAAGTCAGCCTTCCATCAAAACTGGAAAAAGATCATTCTAAAAACATATTGGCTAATTCCATTTAAAACCTTTGCAAGAGCAAAGAAAGAATAACTCCCTGGAACAACTGCACAAAATCCCATTGGTGTCAGTGAGACTAAGCTCCATTACAGATCCTGCATTATGTGATTTGTATCACACTGATTACTAGAATAGCACATTTAAGCCATTTATAGTTAACAAAAAATTAAGTAATGATGAAGAATGAGAAATGTTGAGTTTTCAGCTTCTGTTACAAAACACAGACAAAATCTGAGCTGGCACTCATACAGGTGCTTTCAGACGCAATAAAATCCTGTTGATAAAAGACTGGGAGCTCACTTAAAATGCCCACAGAAAATGTACTCATTTTGCAATTTGCCCTTGTGCAGGAGGCAGGATAGCAAGCCAAAAACATACCTTGGCCTTCATCAAAATAATTTCCTGAGGCAGTCCATGATTAAATGACCTTATCATCTTCTATTCTGGTATCAAGATCAATGATTTTACATGATGGAAACACACCAGCCTTGGGTACCATTGGCACTGCAGATATTACAAAGGAGCCTCCTGCAGCTCTTCTATGGAAATCCCCTCTTCTGATATGAATATCCTTTTTAACAGCTGAGGGTCTTGATGGGTTCATCTTGATTTTACCTAAATCACTCAAAACTGCTGATTAATCCTAACTATGTGCATACTCTTGTAGTATGCAGGTGACCTGAAGTTCACCTCATTTATATAATTTCAAATCTGAAAAATCCATTAACCTCAATGAAGTACAATATTTTCAACTGCAATAGCTATTTCTTTACAGTTTCAAGAGTGCTAATTACTAAGAAAGCTAATATGAAATTGAAGTAACTGTTACTTGTAAAATAGTTACAGGAGGGTTTAATTTACTAAAACTTCAACAGTTCTTCATTTCAGGTGACTGATTATAGCTAATAAACCTACAGTTATTCTTTTCACAGACAAAACACAAATCCTGTCTATCTGTATTACATAGATACTGCTCTCTAATAGCTCTTTACAGTCTACTTTAAATACTCTTCTGGGGAATACTGACTTTTCAGGTTTTGAAAAGTGTTCAAAACTAAATACCTCTTCGCTAGGCTGTTGTTGCTCTAATGCCTGCTCTTAGTATTTATGAAGGGACCTGATATATACAGGTGCTGGAATAAATACCTGCACAATTTTCTCTGCATTACTTTGCTGTACCATTTTCTACATGACCTGGTACAGACATGGCATGACTCCATGGCACAACTCCATGGCACTGCAGTTCATGGCATGATAGTTCTGTTAGCTTGGATGTGAACTTTCAGGCTGTATCTGCCATTCTTAGCAAAAGCAAACAAGTACTTGGAATAGATCCCATCATTCTTAACCATGTCAGAACCTAGATATGAAAATGACATAAATTAACATCAAACAAAAATGGTTCTACTTATTCATGTTTTCTAGATTCATTTATCTAGAATATAAGAATAACAGGAAAATTATTCTCTGATATGCAGTCTGTGCAGCTCCTCTGGTTTTGATGGTATGTTAAAACTGTTAGAGAAGACTGCAGTCTGAAGATTATGCCTGTTTGTACTGTGTTTTAACTCAAAGAAATCTTAATTTCTTAGAAAAATCATCTATTATTTCATTATAAAGCTAAAGAACAGGTTATTTTCAAAATCTGTACAGTTTTTAATTACTTTCCATGTGCTTCTGTAGTCACACATTCGATTCTGCAGATTGGGTGCTTCTCTGTTCTGGTTATGCTCATTGCAGAATTCAGCCACCTACAATGATAAACAAATAGAAAAATCAGAAGTAAGCAACAGAAAAGTAACAAATAAAAAAGAGATGGAAATAAATCTTCACTGCTGATTTATATAGTTGAGACATCAGCTGATGGAAAATTTAATTTTACATTAATAACTATGCATTACAGTTGATTTACATAAAAGTTGAAATAAACATTAATTTCAAAATGGATATAGCAATTTTTATAACAGTATGTTTCATTGAAAGAAATCTGTTCTTATATTTGTAATTACAGATTACAAACTTTGCATATACATTAATGACGATTCTGCAGTTTGATTTTTTTCAGGAATAAATGCACATCCTTCCTTAAAAAGCTGTGTTAGCCTATTAATGACACAATTACCTTCAGTACAGGATTTTTTTTCACAGATACGGATTCCAGTAAGATCAGAGAAACACCTAAGGATAAAACAGAATACATTTCCACTTAAAAACCCTGTCTGAACACAGTGCTGAGATTAACAGTGCTTGGAGTGTAGTCTGCACTCTGCCCGTGTAAAACAGTTAACCTTGTAAAAAGATAGGAATATACATTGCAAAGTGATACAAAGAATAATAATCATTTTGTTTACTTCTCCATCACTTCAGTCTATTG